TTAAGAGTGAAATTTTACTCTGAGAAGTTTTATGCATACCGGCCCTGTTCATTGTTATTATTGGTAACGCAGTAAATAGGAGTTGTTTCCTTTCCAGGGCCCATCCATTTTCTTCTTCCGCGTCGTGTTCGACAAGGAGGTGAGGACCGCCATCCGCTACTTTTGCTGCCGTAAGAAGAAAGACTCCATGGCTGGGACCAAGTCCATGACTTCGGTATGTGCGTCATGTGCGACTTGAACCGTTGCGCTGTGGTGTTTTTTTGTTTGTATCTGACTGCATCTTCTTGCCCTTAGTCCTATAACTGCGCTAATAGTTACTCGGACGGCAGAATGTACCGGCCCCAGTTTGGGGAGTCCAGCATCTCCCTCAACAGTACGCTGCGTTCGGGGAAGAGCCAGCAGAGTTACATCCCTTTTGTCCTGAGGTACGGCTCACCCTACAGAGCGTAGAGTGTGGAACTCTGTCTGGCTGACAGATGCTTCCAAGTATTCAGGTGCTAAATGATACTTTTGGGTTTCAGGGACGACTCTGGGCTACACAACAGTCAGGCCCACATGGCACTGAACGAGAACGACTCGCTGTATCACAAAGTCAAGCAGCCTGGGGAAGGTTCGAGACACGCCCGTTCCTGGGAGATTGGGGGTCTCTCCATGGGCGATCTTACAGGCCACCCTAGTGTCTGTTGTTATCCCAACACGTGTCTTATCTTTGCGTTTGCAGACCAGGACTCCGACTCTGACAGCGACCTCTCTCTGGAGGACGACCAGAGCGGCTCCTATGCATCCACTCATTCCTCAGATAGTGATGACGAAGAGGGTCCTTACCCACCTGAGGCATGCTGGGAAACCTTGGCAGCAGAGCTTCCTGTTCCTCACAACTCGTACAAAGGTATATCACTTAGTTGGACATGGGGGCGGGGCTTTTCACCAGTGAGTGGTAATATTACCTCATTTAATTTTATTCCCTTTGCTTTTGTCTTTAACTGACTAGTGTGTTTAGGTAAATATATCACAATCAGAGAACTATCAAGAGGAAAACAAAAAATACAATATTTTTATAATTTTGTATGTAAAAAGTATACAAAAATAGAACTTGGGCAAACCATTGCATTGTGGGTAGGTTTTCGAATGTAGAATGTAACAGAAGTTCTTATGTCCCTTTCCAGACAATAACCTAAGTCAGCCTTACTGGCCAGGCGAATTTGTTACCACAGCCAGTGAGAGCGAGGGCACAGAGAGGCTGAGAGTGCAGACGCTGACCAGTCCAGAGCTCAGCCTGAGTCAGGACAAGGGCCCAGTACTGGAAGTTCAGGGTAAAGACAACGGTGCTGCGATCCTGCCCAGCCTACCCAAACCCAGCGCACAGCCACACAAAGGTAAAGGGTGACATTAGGGGAAAGGGGCTCCACAATTAGATTTTCTGTATTGATCAACTCAAACTGATGTTAAAACAAATAGATGAATTATGTGTATTTTTTCCATTGAATATTCTGCCACCACAAGGGGACGCTGCACTTACTATCAACAACGTAAATTAACCGATTAATCTCGTTTTTATTATGGTTTAGAAATCTTGAAAATCTTTAGCAGTATGCCATACTTTGGGATGCCAGTGTAAACCATGTCATTTTCCTGAGTATATTAACTAAGTGTGAAACCCATCTTAAGTTACTGTACATTTAGAAATCATATTGTTTTAAATACAGCCAAACTAAAAATTGCTTTGAGTAAAAATCTAAAAAAAATGTATGACAAAACAAGAACAAGAACAGGAAACAGTATTTTAATGATATTTTACTTGTGTATTCTGGAAAAACTTCACTGTACCTTTGCTGTTCACAGCTGTAGGCCTCTACGTCTAAGATTCCGATTTATTTGTGAAAGACAAGAGTCATCATTATTTAAATACATGAACTGTAAACATTTTTTGCATATGAATGATCCTTGTACAAAGTGTATTATGAGGCATGAGCAATGGGGACTTTCAGTTCAGTTTCCTGACTTGGTCCAAGTGATTATTCTAATTCAGCATTTTAATCTGTATTTTATTCATGGTAGAGACATCTAGCAGACTTCCAGCTGACTTTGGTCAGCCAGATTCTTTTATAGTGAGTCAGAGTTTGTATGTTCCTGCTGCTGCTCCCAGGTTAAAACTGTTCTAGAACTCCTCTATTCATATGCATGTGTCCCTTCAGGAATTCTGAAGAAGAAAAGCCTCCCCACTCCTGTGGAAAAGAATGCCATCAACCGCATCCACAACGAGCTGTCAGTCAGTGCCCAGGGACCGGCCTCCTCCAGGGGTTCTTCCTCTAGTGATGGTCATGGGGGTGGGTCCAGAGCAAGTCCACAGGAAAAACTTAACGGGGGAGCTCCTGTCAGTGCAGTTGTCAAGGCACAGACTGCAGATGAAGACTCGACCGCTTCAGAGTGAGTATCTAGCCATCATGTGGTGCAAAAATACAATATTGTATATAAATTAACTGACTTGCTCATGGCAAAGCCTTGAGATGGTCTACATGCAAACCCCAAATGAAGTAAGTAGACAGAACAGGTCTGTCATTGCAGGTCATAAAGTGTCCAGCCTCTACATCGTGCTGGGATGGAGAGACCAGCAAGGGCTGCTGTGATAGGACCTGAACTGGCTCACGCTCTCCTTCCCTTTGACTGACATGGGTGCCAAATCCCTCTGCCCCTAGCTGGACCAAGCTGCTGTGTGTGGACCTAGAGTCGGTGATTTCTGTTCATTTGGTTTCTGTTTACAAGAAAGGATTGATGCACTTTTTATTTTCTTCAGTTTAGATGGATATGCTGGGAATCAACTGGAATTTTTTTATAATGTAAAAACTTTTCATGAACCTAAACACTGAATTTTTTGGACTTTTTGGCTTTTTACCAGTTTTAAACAACAAACTTAAAACATTCAGGGATTTTTCTACAATACCACTGTTTGTGATGGATAAGCGTAGATGTGTTTACTTTTAAATGGCATAAGGGCTTGTTTGCTTTGGAAATACTTTAACCTGTTAACTGGACTGTCTTATACAGCTGTCCATAATGCAGGTCACTTTCCAGAGTTCCTTGGGGTCTTTGAATATTCCCTGTGGTTCATATGGAGGAGTTCCAAGGAAGGGCTTCTATTGGCTGGATT